TTCAAAGGTTGGTAGCAGACGGGCCTTTGGGGTCGTTAGAAGTCGAGGCTTTTCCTTTATTAATAAAATACGAGGCGTTACAATCCACCCTCCTTATAAAATTTCCGTCCTCAGAAATTCTAAAACTGAAATGTACACGCTTAACTTAAAGCTTATACTTACTGATTACATGACTTGAGAATCCAGTAACTTAATACCGAATAATAGACTTGATCTGAACTGAAGATACATCAATTCACAGTTAAGTGAATTGAACTGCTGACTGAGAAGGGACACTTCCAAAAAAAATAAAGTGTTCCACTGATAACCATGATCTCAAAACGAGACTCTGAAGCGTGTTGATCATCATCATCTCCTAACTGCTGGCTGGTCTCTAGTCTAAACGCTGGTGGTGCAAGCTCCTGTCGTTGGTACACACGGAAGATTCCAGAGATACACATATATACAAACGAGGATAATTAGCTATATTGGTAATTACTTTTCGTGACTGTCTGTTTGACAACGCGGCACATCGTTCGAGGCACATTGTAATGCGGCACACCAGCTCCTCATCAAGTGAGTGCGGCACACCTGCACACAGCACCTGGCGAACCTTGCACCTGCGTTGTTGTAATCTGATCGTATCTATACCTCAAGCTAGTAGCCTCAATGTATCTTTTAATACTAACTCTCTGTAATCTCCCGGTGTACTGAGATTCAAGCAGGATATCCCAGGGTGGAAGCATTGATTTGTCATTATGGCACGATCTGTTGCTGTCGATTGGCCTTTCCTCGTCGCGGCGTATTTCAACCTGTGGTACCTGCAACTGTTTACTCCCTCCGAGGTTAAACTTAACCTCAAGAAGAAGTCCATCCTGAATGAATATCTCTCACGATTTCTCAGACTCTTCAGAATTTGAGAATCGAGGCACGGACATTCTGAAAATGATAGATAAGTCTTGTCTTGCTAGACAGACTATCCTTGATCTTAACATGACTGGCCTGAACATTCATATAACTGAATGATCATGACTTGACTCTTACATGACT